GCCTTCTGGTTAGCAGTCAAGTGCCTTAGCCACTATGTTACCAGAGCTCCCAGAAGAAAGCATAAGAGAAAATATTTTAGGCCTTTGTTAGGCAATGATTTCATAGATAATTTTAAAATGCATGATCCAAAAAATTTTTAAAATTGATTAATTAGACTTGGTCAAAATTAAAAACTATTCCTTAGCAGATGGTGAGTTTCTCTTAATACTGGTGGAATAATTTAGAAAAGGATAGTGGTGATAGAAGCACTACATGATGAATGTAATCAATGTCACTGAATTCTTGTTGTTATTAGGCGACATCAAGTTGGTTTGGACTCATAGCAACACTATGTACAACAGAAAAAAGTCTGCCCAGCCCTCCACCATCCTTCCCCGTCATTGCTGTTTGAAGTCATTGTTGCAGCCACTGTATCAATTCATCTTGTTGAGGGTCTTCCTCTTTTTTTGCTGACCCTCTACTTTACCAAGCATGATGTCTCCAGGGACTGGTCTCTCCTAATAACATGACCAGAATATGAGAGGTGAAGTCTTGCCATCCTTGGTTTTAAAAAGCTTTCCAGCTGTACTGCTTCCAGGACAGATTTGTTCATTCTTCTGGCAGTCCATGGTACCTTTGGTATTTTTCATCAACACCACAATTTAAATGCATCAATTCTTCTTCCATCTTCCTTATTCATTGTCCAGCTTTCATATGCATATGAGGCAATTGAAAATAGTATGGCTTGGGTCTGCAGCATATTTGTGTAGTGTAATACATGTCTGATTTCTTGACTGGTGCTTCCATGGGTGTTGATTGTGGATCCAAGTAAAATGAAATCCATGACAATGTCAATCTTTTCTCCACTTATTGTGATGTTGCTTACTGGTCCAGGTGAGAGCATTTTTTTTTTTTTTTTAATGTTGAGGTGTGTGGTGGTTAAGTTTGTGTATCAACTTGGCTAGGCTTGGTTGAGTGGCTGGGCAGCTGGATGTAGTATTTCCCATGATGAGACTGGTAATCAACTCCATGGTGGAATCTATTATGAGCAGCTGAGTAGCTGCCTTTGGATATGTGGTCTGCTTCCTGTATATAAGAAACAGCTTTGGGAATGGTCTCTAGCTTATGGCACACTTGAACCCTGCATGTAGCCATGCTACATGTTCAGCAGCCTGCCATGCTCTGCCGACCTTGGGACTTTCAATGGACTTGAATGAATGGCCTGCCATGTGGTTTGGTAACATCAGGATTGTGCTATTTTATTTGTCAACCTTGGGCTTATTAGCCTCAGCAGCTAGTAGCTGTCTGAGTGAAGAGATGCCTCTAGCTTCAATGGGCTGGGAGCAAGAGGCAGAGCTGAAGCCCAAGGTCAGGGGGCTTCCACACAGCCCCTAGAGCCTAGCACTTTGGACTTCTAGCCTCCTGAACTGTAAGAGAATAAACTCCTGTTTGTTCAAGCCATCCCATTTGTGGTATATTCTTGTCAGAGTGGAACTAGGTAACCAAAACAAGGTATAATCCATACTGAGGGCTGTAGTCTTTGGTCTTCTTCACTTTCAGCAAACAAGGATGTGTCAGCTGTGTATTGCAGGTTGTTAATGAGTCTTCCTTCAATCCTGATGCTGCCTTATTCTCCATATAGTACAGTTTCTTAGATTATTTGCTCAACATACAGATTGAGTCAGTATGGTGAAAGGCTACAGCCCTCATGTACACTATTTCTGATTTAAAATCACACAGCATAAGCTTGTTCTGTTCGAATGACTGTCTCTTGGTCTATGTAGCTTCCTCAAGAACACAATTACATGTTCTAGAATTCTCATTCTTCACGATGTTATCCAAAATTTGTTATGCACACAGTTGAATGCCTTTGCATACCCAATAAAACCCAGGTAAACATCTTTCGGGTATTCTCTGCTCTCAGTCAAGATCCGTCTGACACTAGCAATGATATACTTCATTCTGTGTCTTCTTCTTAATCCAGCTTGAATATCTGGCAGTTCATTGTTGATGTACTGCTGCAACCATGTTTGAATTATCTTCAGCAAATTTTTTTTTTTTTTTTTTGGTGATTTGGGTGAAGATTTACAGAGCAAATTCACTTTCCATACAGCAGTTCACATATACTTTGTCTCATGTCATTGACCACAGTTTACCACAATGCAACAGCTCCCCTCCCACTTCCTCCCCATAGTTACCTCTTCCCAGTGTCCATCCCTCCATACCCTCCTGCCCCCTGAGCTGTCTCTCTGTTCATAAGCAGCCTTCTTTCTCCCATGATTGTTCTCTCCTAGGAGTGTATCTCCCTGAGGTAAATGTTCAACTCATATGCCTGTATTTTGTTTGGCTGGAAACCACAGGTGTGGGTTCAATTCCGGACCTGAAGGGCAGCTAGAGGTCATAGTCTCAGTGGTTCCACCAGGCTCTATCGGACCAGCAAACCTGGTCCCCACCATTTTTTTTTTCTCCAAATGATTTTGAGTTTTGTTCCAAATTGTTCTCCCTCTCTATCAAGGATCTCTTACATAGATCCCCTTCCAAGTGGATGACAGTGGTAGCCGGGCACCATCTAGTTCTTCTGGCCTCATAATTGTATAAGCTGCAGATCGGATGGTATACCAGTCTCTAGGACTAATTCTTTCCATGACTTTTGGTTTTCTTCATTCTTCTTTGCTTTGGATGAGGAGAGACCCATAGTTGCATCTAGATGGCAGCTTGCTAGCTTTTAAGATCCCATTCAAAAAATCTTTACTTATGTGTGATATTAATGACATTGTTCTATAACTTCTGCATTCTTTTGGATCACCTTTCTTTGAGATGAGCTCAAATATGGATCTCTTCCAGCTGGTTGGCTAGGTAGTTCTCTTCCAAATTTCTTGGTATTGAGAAGTTTGCATTTCCTGTGTTGCATCCATTTGCTGAAACATCTCAATTGGCATCCAATCAATTTCTGCAGGCTTGTTTTTCACTAATGCTTTCAGTGCAACTTAGACTTCTTCTTTCAGTTCTTAATCATAAGCTATCTCCTGAAATGGTGGAACCTTGATCAATTCTTTTTAGTATAGTGACTCTGTGTATTCCTTCCATTTTCTTTTGATGCTTCCTGCATCAATCAATATTTTGCCCAGAGAGTTCTTCAATATTGCAATTTGAGGCTTGAATTTTTCTTCAGTTCTTTCAGGTTGAGAAATACCGAGCATTTTCTTCCCTTTTGGTTTTCTAACTCCAAACATTTGCACATTTCATTATTATACTTTGTCTTTTTGAGCTGCCATTTGAAATCTTCTATTTAGTTTTCTCACTTCATCATGTTAGCTTTTGCTACTCTCTGTTCAAGAGCAAGTTTCAGAGTCTCTTCTCACATTCCTTTTGGTCCTCTCTTCCTTTTCTATTATTTTTTAAATGACCTTTTGCTTTCTTCATGTGTGATGTCCTTCATGTTATCCCACAATTCATCTGGTGTTTGGGCATTAGTGCCCAATGCATCAAATCTATTCTTGAGATGGTCTCTAAATTCGGGTGGGATACACTTAAGGTTATACTTTGGCTCTTGTGTACTTCTTTTAATTTTCTTCAACTTCAACTTGAATTTGCACATGAGTAAATGATGATCTGTTCCACAGTTGGCCTCTGGCTTTGTTCTAAATGATAATATTGGGCTTCTCCATTGTGTCTTTCCACAGGTGTAGTCAATTTGATTCCTGTGTATTTCATCTGGTGAAGTCCACCTTTTATGTAGTTGAAAAGGGGGATTTTCCATGAGTAAGTCATTGGTCTTGCAAAATTCTATCATGCATCTCATGTGCCATTTTGGTCACCAAGGCCATATTTTACAACTACTGATCCTTCTTTGTTTCCAACTTTTACATTCCAATCACCTGTAATTATCAATGCATATTGTTTTATCAATTTCAGATCCCAGAAATTGGCAAAAATCTTCAAATCTTCAATTTCTTTATCTTTGGCATTAGTAGGAGCTCTGGTGGCATATTGTCTAAGGCATTTGACTGCTATCCAGAAGGGTGGTGGTTCAAACTCACCAGCCACTCCTCAGAAGAAAGGTTGGGCAATCTACTTCTGTAGTGATACCACCTTGCAAACCCAAGGAGGGTTGCTATGAGTTGGATCAGACTACATGCAGTGCATTGCGTTGTTGCACTGTTGCGTTTGACATTAGTGGTTGTTGCATAAATTTGATTAATAGTGATATTAACTGGTCTTTTTTGTAGCCACATGGATATTATCCTATTACTGACCACATTGTACTTCAGGACAGATTTTGAAATTTCTTTTTGATGATGAATGTGACACCATTCCTCTCAATTGGTCATTTTTGGCATAGTAGACCACATGATTGTTCAATTCAAAATGGCCAATATCAGTCCATTTCAGTTCACTATAGCCTAGGATATCTATTTGAACTGTACATTTAAAAACTGTTGATTTGGCAAAAATTGTTGAGGTGATGCTCAAAATAAATAAGAAAGTAAATAGACCAAATTTTTAAATGGGCAAAAGACTTGAAAAGACATCTCTCTCTCACATACATACCCACTATATGAATGGCAGTTAAGTACATGCAAAGATGCTCAACACCATTAATCACTCAAGAAATGCAAATTAAAACCACAAGAAGCTACCCCTACATACCCATTAAAAAAAAAAAAAAAACAAAAACTCACTGTCATGGAGTCAGATCCGACTCATAGCGACCCCTCCTTGGGTTTCCGAGGCAGTATCACTATGGAAGTAGATCTCCCTATCTTCCTTCTGAGGAGTGGCTGGTGGGTTTGAACTGCCAGCCTTCTGGTTAGCAGTCAAATGCCTTAGGCACTATGCTATCAGCGCTCCCACCCATTAAAAAGACACTAAAAAACCTCACAATATCTAGTACCGGTGAGGATGTGGAGAAATTGGAAGTCTCATACATTGCTGGTGGGAATATAAAATGGCACATCCATTTTAGAAAAGAGTTTGATGGATTCTTATAAAGTTAAATGTATACTTACCATATATCTCACTACTAGGAATTTACCCAAGATAAAACAAACACTTATATTTACACAAAACTCTGTGCACACATGTTTATAGCAGCTTTGCTTCATAATCTCCCAAAACTGACAACCACCCAAATGCACTTCAACTGGTGAATATATAAACAAATGGGATACATCAGTACAATAGAACAAAACTTAGCAATAAACAGGAATGAGCTATCAATAAGGAAACAACTTTGGATGATTCTCAAAGACATTATAGTAAGTGAAAGACACAAGGCTCAAATGATTCTATTTATATGAAATTCCAGAAAAGACAAAACCATGGAGACAGGAAAATAGATCAGTGGGTGCTTGTGGGGTGAGGGGAGAAATCTGATTACAGAGGGGCACAAGGGGACTTTTGGGGTGATGGAAATTTGTGTATTGTACCTGTGGCTATGGTCTACCTTTGTCAAAATTCACAGAAGTGAGCATATAAAAAGGGTGAATATTAACATGTAAATTATACCTCAATAAATCTGATGTTATAAAAATGTAGAGAAGATAAGAAAGCAGGAAGTGCCAATGAAAGATCTCATTTATGATGCATGTATTTTTATTCTGGCCAGATTTCATAGAATATAGCCCAGATGTACTGTCAAAGAGGAAAAAGTTGTTTAAATCTTGTAAATCATCTTACTGCCATTCAGTCATCTAGAACTCACCATTATTTGGCTCTTCTGGATATCTATAATACAATAAAAATGGGTGATTATGTTTGCAAGCTCTTTTGTACAGTCAAGGAAAGTTTAAATTATATTTGATATAAAACCAAAAACCAAACTCATTGCTGTCATTAGATCTGACTCATAGCTACCCTTCCTTGAGTTTCTGAGGTGGTATCACTATGGAAGTATACTGACAACCAATCTTCCTTTCGAGGAGAGGCTGGTGGGTTTCAAACCCTAGCCTTCTGGTTAGAGTCAAATGCCTTAGGCACCATGCCACCAGAGCTCCCATATTTGATATAGTTTTTAAAATTAATCTACAGCTTTTTTGTTTTTGTTTTTTACTTTTACATTTTGAAATAATTATAGATTCACAGGAAATTGCAGATAGTTCAAAGGGATCACATATAACCTTCACCATGTTTCTGGTTACATTTTACATAACTGTAGTACAACATCAAAACCAGAAAATTAACATTGGTACAATGAATGTGTATAGCTGTCATTTTAACACATGTATAGATTCGTATAATCACCACTGAAATAAAGATACAGAACTATTTCATCACCATAAACATCTTTGTGCCATCCCTTTATAGTCATGCTCAGTCCACTGCCCCACTTCTTCAACCATCCCTACTTCCTGGTAATCACTAATTTGTTTTCCATCTCTATAATTTTATTATTTCAAAAAAGTTCTATTAATGAAGTCATATATAGTTGTGAGCTCTGGTGGCTTGGGCCTAAGGCATTTGACTGCTAACCAGGAGACTGGCAGTTCAAACCCACCACCCACTCCTCAGAAGGAAGATTGGGCAATCTACTTCTGGAGAGATACCACCTCAGAAACCCAAAGAAGGGTCGCTATGAGT